TATATATACAGTAAAATGTTAGGATACTCTAATGTCCCCAGACCTCTCCCTCCCCAGTCACCTCTTCCAGGTCTTCTGGAAGAGATCCAAGGTGTTCCCAGGCCAGCTGAGACACAAAACAATTTTGCACTGCACGGCCTGGCTTGGCCGGGGTTCAAACTCAAGTTTGGTGTTTATGCATTAGCCCTTATGAGCCAGGTTCACCTCGATTTCTGAAACCTCAACAGCTGTTCCAATTCATGCCGATTTGACATCAGATACTGCTGCTCCCTGATCGGTTCACTGATCGGGAGGATACTGCTGCTCCCTGATCGGTTCACTGATCGGGAGGGTTACGTCACACAGATGAGAGTAACTTTATGTGAATCGTTTGCAATGACGTTTTTTTTTTCACACGTTTAACTACACAACAACATCAAGCTAACAAAAAGCTAACATTAGCTGTCATCCTGCCCTCTCATCTTAAGCATGGTCCGATTCAACATTTGGCACTTTTCCTTTGAACTTCGCGCAGTCCATTATTGTTTTGTCTCAAATAAAACTAAATAAGATCACTCTTGTAATTTACCCCTACCTGAAAATAAAGGGTGTTTTAATGATGTTGACCGATGTTTAAGAATTTGAACCATCTTCTGTTTTAAGCGTGATCCAGTCGGCCACAATGTTTTATGTTGCAGGGTAACAAATGATGCACGGGAGAATGAGATGGATGAGAACCTGGAACAGGTGGGCGGAATCATTGGCAACCTGCGTCACATGGCGTTAGACATGGGCCAGGAGATCGACACCCAGAACCGCCAGATTGAAAGGATCATGGAGAAGGTACAGACCCCACTAACACTAGCATGGAACAGAAAGTCTGTAGTAAAAAAATTGTCGGAAACGTCAAAAGCCACGTAACTAAAAACAATTTCAGAGTCTTAAAATTTAGCTAATTAATATTTAGATGGATTACAGACTCAACATCAGTTGTGCTGATTTGAAGCAGATTTACTTTGACATTTTACAAACTAAATCCCATTTACTTGCGAACTGTGTAAGTCTGGTTGTTTTAAAATTATAATTCAGGAGTCACCACATTTCCTCAGCCCTGACTTAGTTCTGTAACAGCTGGCACTTTTCCCTTTCAGGCTGATTCCAACAAGACCAGGATTGACGAGGCCAACCAGCGGGCTACAAAGATGTTGGGCAGTGGCTAAACTGCAGCTTAAAGTGCTCTCATCCCTGTTAAACCCCAGTCAGCCTGAAAATGAGACCAACCAAACCAAACCCAGCCCTGCCCCCAACACCAATGCCGACAGCAGGCGCTGCAAATTCATGCTTTTCTTGTGATACTGGTAGAAGTTTGCACACATGCACATATCATACATCGCTTCCCTCCCTCTCTCCTTTCCCTCACTAACGCTCCATCTTTTCCCACTGTTGTTGTTAATGATGTTCTGTGAAGTCTCTCTTTGAACTTTGCTCCTATATAATCCCATTACACATTACACTCAGACCTTCTCCATGCTGTACATAGAGCATCTTTAACGGCTTCGGTGATTTAGATCACTTGTCCTCTTCTCTTTATTCTTTCTTTTTTTAATTCTTTGTGTAAAATAAACTGTATTTACATCTTTATTTTCACACTGTCCTTTTCCTGTGTCAGTATTCTGGTATTTGAGACAAGCTTTGCCTGATTCACCACAGGATGGGTTCAGAAAGCCTCCCGTCAAGGGAGAAATGCGCCTCAAACTGTGCTGCCAGCCAAACAGCATCTCCTTGCTCTGATGCAATTTGCCCACATTTAAATGAAGCTTTATTCATGCATTTAAAGAAAAAAATGGCCCTACTTTTATACATTTCTGCTATGGCATGAAGCATTAAAGACCAATGATGTTTGTAACACGCATTTAGTGGGAAATATCTCTGAAGAGCTGCTGGTAATTATGTCTCAGAAGAAAAAGAGGAAGCAAAGCAATCTGCATTTACAAAAATGAGCACGTCACAAACAGTAAGTAATGAATATCAATTAATGTTGCTTCTACAAAAAAATGATCAAAAAATGTATTTTGTTGCTATTTTACATTCAGAATACTAAACTTTATAGAACATTTCAACAGATAAGTCTTCACGTCCAGAGGTTGTAGTCACAATCTTGTTCATATTTGAATGTACATATTTATATGTACATATTTGTTTAAACTGAATGCAAACTATGGTATTGAGCAAACATTTTTAACTAAATTAGTATCAGAAATATCTGCGTTAAAAACATCAACATCATCACTGATTTTTAAATGACATATAAAGATAATTGTCTCCCCTTCTCTCTCTGACACTTCTGTTATATTTAGATTGTGTAGCAAGGACAACTCCAATTTGTTGCAAAAAGGATGCACACATGTACTGGACACACATGTTTTWTTTTCTTTTTTATGTCCAACATTTAGAAATAACACTTTTTATTCTGTGATTCAAATACTAAGAAAGAGCAAATGAATGGGGCAAAAGATGAGAAGCTAAAACAAAGCACTGCCCATTCTTGGTGAATCATGCCTGCTTTATATTTGTCAGTAAGGAGGTAATAATACTACACAATAAATCCAGTCATTTTGTCATAGAAATAGTGATAATCAATGTTTATATGCTGTATAAAGACATTTTATGTGGATGTGAAACTGCTCAAATCTTACTAGTATTGCATTTGAGCTGCTTGAATGGAAATGTGGCTTATTGGTCAGAGCTGTGCCAGTATATTTACCAACCTTATTATTGGAACAGTATTAAAAGGATTTGATGCCATAGGATTGTGTAGTTTTACCCTTTTTCCTCAGGGAGCGAAATCTGACCTCTTAAAAACAAGGGTTGAATAAATCTATTCACACATTGAAATCTATCAAAACTCCACATGTGTAAATATATATACTTTATATGTGAGTGCATTTATTTATGATTTGACAGAATTATCAAGTTTAAATATCAGGCTGTAACAGCAAACATGAGATTTTAAAAGAAGACCAAAGCAGTGAGTTTTAGGTGTTGAGCACATTTAAAGAAAAGGTCAACGACCTCTTCACATCATTCAACCCTTTCAGAGATGAAATGGTTCATTCATTCATTAAGTGTGTTTTGCATGTCCTTCAGCTGCTCGAAAACAATAAATAATTCATTTATTCAGGCAAAAAAATTAAAAAAAGAAATCAAATAAATATACTAACTTGGCAACAGCATGCTACGTAATGTATGTAGACCACTCATATTTATCTGCAATAGTGCCACTCTGTTCTATATCTATCATTCTGTGACCATCACTGTAAAATATCATGTACCTTGATAATTGCCAATAAAACCATCAAAACTGCAGGACCAAACTCTGCTTTCTGTTAGTTTTTATAATGTGAACAATAAAACGGCAGCAAATCACAGCGGAAAAACTAACCAAGAGTTATCAGTTAGCACAGCTCAACTTGCAACTGATTTTACAGTAGTTACAACTCAGTAGAGAATTTAAATATGTGACAATCAGCATATAGAAGAATATGGTAGTAATTTGTTTAGCTTAGGTTTTAGGATTTTATGTTCAGTGATCCACAAGTTTTTTAGAATCAGAGGCACAATTTGTACATATCATACTCATTTATTCACTCAGATTTACAGTGTATTATAAACAAATTGCATAAATAGATATTAAAATAAATGTGAACATGGCTGGTTGTGGACTCTATTGAAGTGAACTTTGTTTGATCAAAAGTAAAAAGAAGAATTAAAAAAATGAATGAATACAGACTCAAAAAAACAACACAAAAAGGAAAATTAGGAACTTGATGACTTATAAAAATTATGATTATTTTAGGTCTAAAGCATTGTTTCAGAAGAGTGCATAGGAAGATTTTGCAGTTCCTTTGGTCCATCTGCTTTAAAACTCCACTTAATCATTTTAAAGGGACAAAATGATTGCTTTGTTGGTGAATTTAATAGTTACATCCAGACTTTTTTGCTACAGTGACATAAAAGCAATTTTCCATAAGTCCAATTTGAGGAAAACAGACTTACTCTTTTGGTGCCTCAGAAGTTAAACGGTTTATCCYGACATCACATTTAACAGATCTGTAAACAACATGTTTAACACATGCAAAGGTCAGCGTGAACAAATGGAGCTGGAGTGTGTGTGTGTCAAAGGTGAAAAGACACACAGACGAGGGGAAGAAAGAGGCAGAGACAGAGGAGGAAAGACGTGAAGCAGCACATTACACTAATGGACATCCACTGTGGTGCCCTGGGCTTAGGGTGGATTAGAGTTTACCACGTCACTAAGAACACTGACACACACACACACCCACACAAACTTAAACCAGCAACAGCTACATGAGAGAATAATCTAGTATAACTCAGTTACATCCACTAAAAGCCTCAGTACATGCATGTTACAGTATATGGATATGGACACGTCACACAGAATGACCAAGTATTATCTATGGAGTTTTATGAAGTTATAGATCAAGCCCCATACAAACACACACACTGCTTATGTATGCAGAAAAAGCCAATATACATCTGGTTATAGTTGTCAGGTTCATATGCTTGCTTTCTGATGCGTCCACACAGCAAGTCTGATCATCTTTGTTTTTATTGTTCCATATGGTGGCATCAAATAACGCCTTAAAAAGTATATATATAATCTACCAACTAGGCAGTAGGCAGTTGGTTTAGATGTTTCAAGCTTCAACATCACTGATCAATACACATTATCAGACATTTACTAAAAACAAACAAATATTAAAAGAAAATCTGACCAGCTTTTAAACATGAAACAATATCCTCTATAACCAGCTCTCATTCAAAGCTGTATTGCTCAAAAGTTGGAAGCCCTTCATTATAAAGGGACCTACTTTAAAACATGAAGGACAAGATTAYCTTTAAACAAGACCTATACTTCTGTAAATCCCACAAATAGAACCCCACATAAAATTATCCACATTRTCTCTATAATAAAATCATGTAAACATGTTGATTTGAAGTTGAAAACTGATGCTGTAAAACTGATGTATTTGTGGTTGGCCTATGCCGTGTTATGAGAGAAACTATTTGTTTATTTGAACCAGCCAAATGTCATGTATGGAAGCCCATTTACGCCACCCTGATAAAAAAAAACTTGTATCTCATTATTATGACTTAGCTATCTCATAATTATGAGACAGTATCTCATAATTATGAGATACTAAGTCAAATTATGACATAGACATAGACATAGAGATACTATTTCATAATTATGAGATAGCTAAGCCATAATTATGAGATAGTATCTCATAATAATGAGATAGTTAAGTCATAATTATGAGATACAAGTTTTATTTTTTTATCAGTGTGGCGGAAATGGGCTTCCATAGACATGGGCTGAGAGTACTCATTCATTTAATTGTGAGTCAAAGGCTCCCCCTGCTGGTTGTGTGGTTTTTAACAGTTTGACAGAAGCATTATTTTTGGCGACATCTCAAACAAGTTTTCACTGAATAGAATAGAATAGCATAGAATAGAATAGAATAGAATAGAATAGAATAGAATAGAATATGTAGTCATAAAAAATAATGTTAAATAATACTTTG